GACGTGTGTGCTAGTTTCGTTTGTTGTACCTGTTTGGTCCGGTTTGTTAGCTTGCGGCTGTGCTCCCGCACCAACCACCGAAGGGCCCGCCGGAACGGGAGCTTGTTGCTGAGGACATTCATCTGCATCATATTGGACGTCGCAAGTTTTAACCATACATAGTAGCTGTCAATGTATTGCAGCAACTTCTCACTGCGTCCAGCGATCATCTCGTTAGGAGCCACGGCATCGAGGCCAAAAAGCTCTGTGCCATTATTACCACCATGAGGCTGGACGCACTGATGCGTGATGACGTGATTATATGCATGAGACGTGCTATGATACTTGCGTCCGCAGGACACACACGTAATTTCAAATTGCGACAACGCATATAGTCGACCGCGGCAGAGGTAACGTGGATATGTTTTAACTGAAGGGGCCATCTTTATTAGCTATTATTACATCTTCAACAGAAAGCAGGACTTGCGAACAGATGCTGTGTGCATTTGTATGTTCTGAAGGGCCCTACAGCCCTTCATTCTGGGACAAGCGCAGACTTAACGAAACCTTACGTTTGGAGTATTTGTACAGTCATAAGTAATTAAAACAATCCCTGGCATGGCGATATTACAAGGCTTTTGCATGCTAAGTGGCCATTTCAGCCGAACTCCGTCGATATGCTCTGAAGGCCCCTCAGCCCTTCGTTATGAAATGGGCACGAATGAGCACGAAACGACAACTAGATGAAGGGGTCCCGGGTATCGAAGGGAAGCTGGTTCCCAGAGTGGTGCATGTATTTGGTTATGTACGTGTCCTGTTAGGCTCTGGTTTAGGTGGAGGCAACCGTTCCCCTGTCGGCTACATGTGCTACATATTTGTAGTGTTCGTCGCGCTGTGTCTCTCAGAAAATGCAGATCCTGCATGCACGAGTGCCATCCATGGTCACAGCCAACAACCAAAACCTCACCGATCTACTCAACCGATGCTAGTCGTTGAATAGCTGCTTTTTGCGGTGATAGCTAGTGTTTCTAGGGTTTTTAGGGTCCTTGAAACCCTAAACGCCTAGAAAAGGCTACAGATGGCTGACTGCAGCATTTCGTGCATTACGAGTACGTGTCCAACGGCAGGGACCAGCAACAGGCACAAGCAAGGGATGAATAATTCCATGCTGCCGCCTTCGTGTTGCTGCTGTGCTGTCCCGGCATGCATGTTCTGGCTAGCTACGACCAAATACCCCATGTACACATGCACCAACGTGTACACGTACACACACATACATACACGCACATGTACACACCA